AAGTACACTACGTTGAACATGTAAAGAAGTAAAGATTTTCCCTGTTATATATCATGCAAATAAAAGAGCATGGATAATGCAAGCGTTAATGAATGATTGGCTTGAAAATCATTTCATACCCGAAGTTTGGCAATATTTGTATTCTGTTCGTTTACCTGATGATACAAAAATTGTCCTGATTGTAGACAACTGTAGGGCTCATACTTCACTTTTAGTTTTTAGTGAAAGATAATGTATCCATATCATTCTTTCCCTCAAATTGTACATCCATCATTCAGTTAATGGATATTGGAATAGTGCGCGCACTAGAATGCAAATATAAAGTAGCATTTTTAAAGTTGATGTTAAATTTCTTTGAGTAATGGCTAGACTGTTCAAGAATTTTTGAAATATTTTAGCATAAAATCTGCTGTGTGGAGCATCGCAAAATCGTGGGAGGATGTGTCTCCAGATACTTTAAAAAATTATTGGCATAATTTATGGCTAGGTACCATATTTCATGGTGAGGACGATGAAGATGATAGCCACAAATTTGAAGGTTTTTGGATAGTGCAAACCAAAGGTGAAATTTTGCAATTAATGCATTTTTTAAATAAATGTGGAGAAGTTTTAATAAATGAAGATGATATAACAAAGGTTTTTCACTGCGATAACAGCACCCCAATCATCAATCAACTTACGGACGGCAAAATCTGTAGTATGGTTTTAGATCCAGAAAATACTGCTACCAATACTGAAGAAAGTGACAGTGAGGTTATTGAAAATGAAAAAATTTCGATTGACAAGTACTCGGAATTCTCGACACAGCAATTACAAGACTTGAACAATGGAACTTTGTAACTGAACAAGAAATTGTGTTTGTCTATGGAATTAAAGAGAAAGTATTAGCAAAAAATGAAGCAACTTAAGCAAAGAAAAGAAAAATTTTACTTTATTAAACATTGAAAGAAATGTTTAATAAATTAAGCAAATAAATATTAAGCCTTTTTTTTTTTTTGTAAATTTTGATGGATTTTAGATCACAAATGATTCATTATTTCATATTTTTAATTTCTACTTGTCATCTTGCTAAATTTAAACTGATGATCTAATATCCAGAAAAACCCCAACTCCGGGATCACCCGAGTCCTGATGAGTCTAGGTCTTGAACTTTACTGTATTTAAAATCAAATTTGTATTGTGAATAATTTGTACTGCATTTAAAATTAAGTATTTCTTCGTTATTTTGAATGATTTTTATATGTTTGTAATAGAGCTGGTATACTGATTATTAAGCCATGTTAACTTAGGTATTTTATTAAAATCTTCGGATTAATAGCTTAGACCTAAAATTAATACTTGAGCTGTTAAGAGAATTTTCAGTCAGTACTTCCTGACTAATAACCTTCAGCAGCAGAAATTGCAAATGGCCTCTCTTTTCCTGCAAAACACATGGCACTTATTTTCAGTAGCTCTGTGAAGAATTTAATTGTTTTAATGATGAACTGATTATTACATTTTTTAAGTGAGTTCGTGTCTGAAAGAAAAGGCACTTGAAAAGTGCTTGTTTATTCTTCCATTAACCATTTGGATAAACAAAAGCTGTCACCCAAAAAGTATGTTAAGTCTGACATCACAACATTAATAAGTCCTCTGGTTTAGTTCTATGCAACCCAGATTAATTCTTGATAATCCAGTTTTATTTTTGTGAGAAGCAATATAAATAAACTGCTGTTTCTCTGTTTTTCTCTTGAATTTTGAGAAAACGATTAAAAATTGGGACCTATGATCAGTAGAATAGCAAGCAGTGGATTTTTTAAAAGCAGTCTGACTATCATACCTAAAACACCAAAAGCTTTGGAATTCAGCAAAATGATGCAATAAAATACACCAGGTAATACAACTTAAATTGTTTTTTAACCACTTCCCAGTTTTGACTGAACTCTGTTCGGGTACTTGGAAATGGCACTTTTTTTATATTTTTTTTCTAGTCTAATATACTGATTTGCCCGAATTTTTTGCTTGTGTAGTGTGTAATGTTTCTGGTGGATGGCACTAGTAATCCAGTAAAATTAAAAACTGGTTTCAAAGTTAGGTTTTACTGAATTCTTTTACACAAGTAAAGGCGCGAAATTTCGTTTCACTAGCTCGGTGTAGCAGTTACTGCAAATACTATTACTTTTAAATTTGGAGCTAAAATAAAAGAAGAAATGAATGATAATGAGCAGCTTATAACTGAAGATAACTCTGACTCAGATAGTGAACCTGAAATTTCACTAAATGATTCTGGAAGTAATGACAGTTTATTATCTGACTTCTATAGTGATGAAGAAACGGAAAATATAGATAATCTAACGCAAATTCGGAACTTTTGTAAACTTGATATTAATAATCCTTCTTTCTTGATATTAATAATTCTTCTTTGGAATTGAACACATATGTAATAACAATAAAACATTTTAAATTCTGACATCTATTTTTGTAAAGTGTTCTTTCTGGTTCGCTTACTTGTTAAAAAAAAGCCAACTTTAAGGAAAAATGTGCTTTTTATGATGAAAAATAAAAATTAGCATAAATCAATAAATTCAACACTTGTAATAGTTCTGACTGCTGATTTGGTTTTATATAATGAATTTCTTCATAAAAATGTTTATCAAAAATATGCTTATTTTTTTCATAACATGACGGAAAAAATAAACTGTTAAAGTGGTTAAGCAAGTTCGCGTGGTGTTCAGTTAACAAAAAAGATGGCTATTTTGTTCTAATTTTAACCCTTTAACTGCCATGGAAAACATACAAGATTCATTTCCCAGCGCCACAGTTTTTCACACAGGCGTGCAAAGTTATGCGATGTATGGGGGGGGGATGTGCAAGTTTTACTTTCTAAAACCTTGTTACTATCACAAAGTAAAGAATAAAAGAAAAAATGAATGCACAAAATTTAATGTTTTGAGTAAAAGTATAATAAAAATGATGTTTTTATAATAAAAAAGATCTCTAAAATGGAGTTTTGATCGACATTTTTAGACCAGTAAAGTGTAATATCAGGTTTCAGTGTTATACCTTGAGAAATCAGTATGCCTAAAAAAACATATATTTCTTCTGAACTGGTTGAATGCCATGATTTTGTTCTTGATTTTTCGTTTGCAAGGTGTTAGCTCATATAGTCGTTTACAAAACGGTTAGTTTCAGTAACAATATGAAGCATGAGCAGTTCATCAAAAAATAATTCAAAAAAGATAAAATGGGTTTGAAACATCCATTTATCTTTCCTTATTCCTGGAATCTACTATAAAGTAAATGAAAATGGAGGACACAGAATAAAAAAAATACATTTTACTCAAACAGCACCAGCCAGTACCGTGCAGTCATTACTTTCACGGCTTTAGACACATCCCTCTCTCCACACTTCTTTGAAATAGTATACTCCTTCACATACTTTGTCAAGGTCATTGAGGTGTTGCATTCCAAAGCTTTGCGAATAATTTTACGGGTAGCAGGGCAAAGCAAATGATAGTATTTTGGAAGGTCGTATATACCGTATTTGACAGTATATAAGACGCATCTTTATTTAGAAGGCCACACACAAGGAAAAAAAGTTTCAATAGTCCGCGTGGTACCACAATAACTTAAAATGTGGTCTCTTTCTCTTTCATCCATATTTCATCCTATTTGACCGAGCTCAAAAGAAGTTTTCTTGCGTGCATGTATAACAAACCTATGAAATGCTAGTATTTTTTCTTCGTAATCTGCTGGCATTTTCTGTGCAATAGTTGTTTTTGATAAGCCTTGCCGTTTCATGAACCTGTAGCACCAGCCCTCAGACCCTGAAAAGTTGTGATTCCCACGTTTTTCTGCAAATCCTTTGGCCTCGTTGATTATCATTTTGGTTGAAACACTTATCCCAGATTTTCTCTTATCTATTACCCACATTTTTACGGCATTTTTAAGTTCAGGCCAAGATGGAGCTGGGCATCGAAGGTTATGTTTTTGTTTTTTAGCAGTCTTCAGTTGATCTTCCTGCAGTCGCCAAGTACGTATTATTTTTTCAGTAGGTGGTGGACCGAAAGGTGTTTCAGTAGGTGGATGCCTTGCTGCTGCTCTGTTTCCGTGCACTTTGGCGTAGGTTAACACTCCTAGTTTATACTGAATTGTATAGCTTAATCTTTTGTTTCCTGTAGTCATATTTTCCAGGGTATTTTTTTAAACTAATAGTTTTAAGCACCGATACCGACACATGTGTCGGCTGAGTTAAAGATCGTCTATGTAAACAAGGAAAGGCTTCATAGACGTAATGTGACCATCGAACCTGTTCGAACTTCGACATCTGCTTCGAGCTTTGGCGCTTTTGGGCGACAGATATTTCACGCATGCGCAAAATAATTATGGCAGATGTAGAAAACGTTATGTGTGTCTAGACCTTTATCCGGGCTAAAAATAGCATTCAGTATTGAAAGTTAACCTGTGTCCTTCACGTATAAGACGCAGGTAACTTTTTTTGAGACCAAATTTAGGAAAAAAAGTGTGTCTTATATGCCGTCAAATACAGTATATGCCCGGGACAGTTAACTCATCGGCTGAGCAAGCCGTATATATACGCCCGCAGCAGTTAAGGGGTTAAACACCATTAGGCAATTTGGCCTGTCAGAATTAAGGGTGCTAGTTTCAGTGGATTTGTTTGTTAGATAATTCCAAAGCTTGAATTCATATTTATTTATTTATATGCTGTATAAGCAACTTGTATCTATCAATTATATATTCAAATGAAGAGGGATTTGTAACTATATAATCCAATGAAGTGCCATTTTGCTACAGCGATTGGCAGGACCTCTGCCAAGTTTCACATTCGCAGAAGGCAAATTTCAGGGTTAACAGGAAACTATGTAAGTACTGCAGACAATTATGGTGCAATTTTTAATTCGATCTAAGTTCACGAAATGCAATTAATTTCTATGAGTTAGTTTTTTTTTTTTTTTTTTTTTTTTTTAATGTTAGTTGAAGAGTAGACTGGAAAGTTCAACTGTACTCGGGGGCATATTTTTGCATTGCTTCTAAGGCTGGTTTGTATCTTATTAAGCAGGAGTCATTCAGATGAGCTGAGTTTCTTTGTATTCATTATGGTGCATATTTCAAATGTGAGTTAGAATTGCTCATGACCACTAAAGAATTGAGTGTTTTTATTTTATTTATATATTTATTTATTTTGAATGATCATTGTGAAAGACATCTTAACATTTTGCTATATCCATATAGTCTTTTAATCATGGTTTCTTCTTTTAGTTTGTGAGGGAACTAAATTGCACAAAAAAAAAAAAAAAAAAAAAAAAAAAAAAAAATGAGCAAAAGCAGTACAGAGAAAATCTCCAGTCCTTTATTTTGCATGAGCTTAAAGAAGCTTTCTTTGGTGACAGTTGTGCTGCCATTGGCATCAATGGTGTTTTGTTTTGTAACTTCAATGGTATTCAGTTTTGAACTGGTGAATACTACTATATGTCAAGTAAGTTTCAAAATATGTTGAGTATCGTCTTCAGTATCCTTAATTGCTTTAATTTTTCTGTACATTTAAGCATTTGCCTTTATTAACAAATTTTACAGCTGTTATAATTACTTTTTATAGGTTTTTAATTTTTGTCCGTCAGTAAGCGCAATAACAGGTATATCACCTCAGAGATATGTTTGGCGTATAGGTGTTGCTCTCCACTCAACTCCACGTCTTCTCTTGGCTTCGGTATATTACAGTCATTACATCAGAAAGGCAAAAAATGTGAAAGAATCTTCAAAGTCTCTGTATGAACACCTTGTGACCTTTAATTATTGGTTTCATGTCACCGAAATAATGGCTCTAGTTGGTGTCACATATATTTCAAATAAGGAAAATTATCGTATGTATATTTTATTTCCTATAAAATTCAAATTTTTCACTCTATCTGTCTACCTGCATATTACTAGTCTTATTTCTAAACAGGAAATTTTTAGCAGGATTATGTAAATCATGCATTTTCCTTTTCAGTTTATTTTACCAAAGTTAATATATTGAAATGTCTCTTTTTCTTGTATTGGGGGCATATATTTGTGTAATAATTATAAGAAAATTAAGTTTTAAAAATTGCAAAATGGTGTTAAATAGTAAAATGTTCTGAATCTGCAGTAAATAAATCAGTGTTGTTATTAATATGTGTAAATTAAATAATTAATATGAATAACTGCTGTTGGCTATGGCATCATAAGTATTCTTTTGTTAATGTCACATAATAAGTTTCTGTATGTTTGTGATGTATTTATGTGTACAGTTATTTTATTATTTTAATTTAAAAATTTTTTTTATGTATAATGATTTAGAACCTGTAAAGGATCTTCAATGGAACTTATCAGATTAAAAAATTTTGCTGTTCAGATAACCATGCTTTTATTATTCGTGCTATAAAATTTTTATTCCTTTTTGTGGAGGATTATCCTAGTTATACGAGGCGTATTCGGAAACTAAGTACCATTTTGAAAAAAAAAAAAAAAAAAAAAATAGTAAAACAATTTTTTTCGATTCCAATTTTATTTTTACATGAAAATACATGTCTTAAACTATTTTTCAACATAGTTTCCGCCAATGATCAAACACTTGTCATAGCGGGTGACCAGTTTTTGTATACCATCGTCAAAGAAACTTCCCTCCAGTTTCGATAACCACGACTCCACAGCATTTTTCGTGTCATCGTCAGATCCAAAGCGCTTGCCACCAAGCTCGCGCTTCATGTGCAGGAACAAGTGATTGTCCAATGGCGCCAAGTCCGGGCTGTACGGCAGGTGATCGAACTGCTCCCAATGAAACTGTTGAATTAACGATTGAGTGACACCAGCAGTATGGGGCCAAGCATTGTCATGGAAAAAACACAATTCCTTTACTGAGCATTCCTCTTCGTTTGTTTTGAATGGCACGCCTTAGTTTTGTTAAAGTCTCATGTCGTGTCGCATTAATGGTTTCACCTCTGGGAAGAAATTCAGTAAGCAAAACGCCTTTCCTATCCCAGAAGACAGTGCACATGATTTTTTGTGATGACATTGTCACTTTGAACTTTTGTTTTTTCGGAGAATGAGTGTGTCTCCACTCCATCAATTGTTGCTTCGATTCTGGTGTGAAATGACACACCCAAGTTTCATCACCTGTCACAATTTGGTTTAAAAGGTTTTCTCCCTCATCACTGTACCGTGTGAGAAATGTCAGGGCACTACCAAGTTTTGTTTTGTGAACAACAGTGAGCATTTTTGGAACCCATCGGGAACAAAGTTTGCGATAATTCAAGCAGTCAGACACAGTTTCAAACAAAACAGTATGTGAAATTTGTGGAAATGCCTCTGAAAGAGTTGTCATTGTGAAGCGTCTGTTTTCATGAATTGCTTCATCAACTTTCCTTCCCAAATCATCGGTGACAACAGAAGGCCGACCACTCTGAGCCTCGGCATGGACATTTGTTTGACCTGCATTAAACATTCTTACCTACTTTCTCACCATTCCATCACTTATCGCGTATTCACCATAAACTTCTGTCACTTGACGATAAATTTCGGCCGGTTTAACATTCCTCGCGTTCAAAAATTTAATCACGGCACGAATCTCACAGTCAGCGGGAGAACTATTTGTCTTAGACATTTTGAATGTGCACAACAAACTGAAAACACAACATAGAGCAACCAAAATGGCGACAATTGAAAGTCAGTGAACAAGAAAGACTAGTGCTCATGCGCGGGACGCCTACCACAGCGCTGCGATGGCGCTAGAATGAAACGGTACTTAGTTTCCGAATACGCTACGTATTATAATTTTTCACTGTTTGTACTAAATCTAAACATTTCAGAGTTTCAGTGAAGAGCCTTATTGTTGGGTTATTTACTTAAAAGATCAAGTGTAATGCAACACTACAAATAAAACTCCTTTTTGAAAATTGTTAAAGAAATCATATAGATTTTTAATAGGTTTTTTTTTTTTAATCATGTGTAAAGAAGTACAAAAAATTACTTATAGTGTTTGTCCGTAAAGTAATCAGACTAGGTCTGGTAAAAAGAATGTATTGATCTGATCAGTACATATTTTTAAAATTCTTCCAAATAATCTCCTTGGGTCTCGATACACCACAGCCAATGTGATTCCCATGCTTGCAAAGGTTCCCTGTAAGTCAGCAGCCATATCCTTAACTGTGTAGCACTGCTCTAGCGAACACTCCATTTTTTTACATTTTCTGCCATGTTAAAAACAGCTTTTGTGTCACACGTGATCCTCACTGTGTCAGGCTCAGACGCAACTGCTGCCTAATGCATTGCTTATTTTAGATCCTTCACCACAAATCCTGCCCCAGGGACAGTACACTTCCGCTGCCTTCATTGTGACCACCTACCTGGCCTGAACAGCAATTGCAACTTTGCAGCAGCCCTGGCATGAGCCGACAGACTTTTCCCTGTTCCTGAAGCTTAACTTGGAAGGTCACTATTTTGAAGACTATTATTACTTATTTTTGTTCTCACTATCCAATGGGCTGTCACAGAGGTTACAACGGCTGATTTACAGGGAGCCTTTGCAAAGTGGGAATCATGCTGGCAGTGATGTATTGTCCCCCAAAAGAGATCATTTTGAAGAATTTTAATAACATGTACTGATCTGATCAATAAATTCTTTTTACCAGACCCAGTCTCATTGTTTTACGAACAAACCCCATGAAAAACAGCATTTCAGGAGGCAAAGGGTTAAGGCTTAAGCATATAGGAGATATTTGTACATGAAGAGAAAACTACTTCTATCACAGCATAATTTTTAAAAATCGTTCTCTTAAATGTTAGTTGATTCCCAGTAGCTGAAAACAAAGCATCACATAAGTAACCAACTTTTGTAATAACCTTTTGTTTATAAGATATAAAACAATAGTTATATTTACATTACTCACAAGACAGTGTAAAATATGTATCACTTATATTACTGGTGGTGCATCGTAAAGTATCTTACTGTAGAGAATAATTAGGCAGTTAATACCAGCTCAAATAATGAATCAAAAGTAAATTTTCATAGAATAACAAAATTGTTTTAAAGCCTCTGTAGACATGAAATTAATGTAAAATAATGGCATTGTAGAGTTATTTCCGGGTGGACTGCAGTTTAAATTTAAAAACACAAACACTATTTAACATTTTTAAATATTTTTTTAAATCTTTTCAAATTTTGCTTCCGATGAAGCAGCGAATGAAAAACAAACGAATGAAATGACAAACGAATGAAAGTTTTTTAAAAAAAACTACATTATCATAGCAACATGCCATATTAAGCAATACAAATATAGCCAATTTAATGGCGCAGACGATTAGCTATTTTATAGAGTGGCATTAACACCGCCCGACTTTGAAATCCTTTGGATTTTAACAAAATTAGATTAGCAAATAACAATGAAATTTTTAAGAAATTATATAAGAAGGCATTTCAAAATTCAAAATAACAATAGTATAGTAAAATATGTTTTAATGCAATACACAATATTTATTAAAACAATAAAATGCTATAATAAAAGTATGTAAAGGTTAGGCATTATTTCCAGGAAATAAAAATAGATTAGAAATGCTGCGTTTACAAATCCTGCTAGGTGTTTTCACTTAAACAATACATATTTTTCCATCTTTCCCAGGTCTTACAGCATGAATTCTGCTATTAACCAAGAACAAATTGTGAGGTTATCTTCCTTTAACAATACAAGGCTAATCTTTTGGATGTTACTTTTTTCAAACTGCCATTTTCCTCATTGTTGGAGATTATTGAAATAATCTCTTGACCATTTTTGCCAAATGATTAAGTTTTTAAACTTGTTGCTATCTAGAAAATCTACTAGTCGAAACATTAATTTGTTGAGGTTCAGGAATGGCATTAATAGTTTGACCAATTAAAGAAATGACCGGGTGTTAAAAATCTTAAAGTCATTTGGATCTGATAACTTGATTGACAACTGTTAAGAATTCTTCAAGAATTAATTTGGAATTTCCTACAACCCCTTTTAGATGATATTTAAACAACTTAACTCCCGCTTCCCAAAGTCTGCCAAAATCAGGAAATAAAAATTTCTAAGCAATTGACTGTGAAACTAAATAAACAGCTAAATTTTCGGGATGGCTGGAAGCGAGGTGATACAATTTTTTCAGGTCTGAATTAGCACCTACAAAATTAGTAGTATCACCTATTGTTGTAGAAATGCCACGATGAAGGAAAAAAAATTTTTTTTAAGTAACAATTAAAGCCTCAGTTGTTAAATCAGTGAGAATTTCTATGTGTATTGCACGAGTGGAAAAACAAGCAACTACTGCTACATAAATTTTGTTTAAAGTACCTTTACATCGATTTTTATATTTTATGTAAAAGCGGCCACAAAGGTCCATACCGGTGTTAGGAAAAGGAGGAGTTACTGTGACTCTTTCCTTTGGCAAAGATGCCATTAACTGCCCTTCTATTTTTGGTTTTACTTTGAAGCATGTAATGCATTGATGTACAATTCTCCTAGCATTATTTCTTCCATTTAGTGGCCCTTAATATATTAAGTAGAATTTGAGCCCCAACATGCAAATTTTTATGAGAAAATGGTTCATTATAATATTAGTTTATGATCTTGAGGAAGTAAAATAGGATGTTTCTGGTCGAATGATAAATAAGAATGGACAGGCTGACCGCCAACACATAAGAGATCATAATCAAAAAAAATGTTTAAATTATTCACATTACTTCCCTTAACATTTTCTTTTAAGGCATTAATTTCTCTATGGTGTACTGTACATTTGCCTGTACTCCTCTAATGAAATACCTTTTTGGCATGCTCAAATTCTTCAATAGTTAAAGAACCAGATATCTTTTCGTTTTTTTCTGCAG